CCCCCCCCCCCCCCTTTGGCTACGCCACTGGATACCTTCAATATACCGTTTTTGCTACAAACCCTCATCAAAGGACCTCTGGTGCACATCCAGAAGTGAGTGATGCCAGATTGATTTTTATTTTGCAATGGATAATTAGGGCAGGGTTGCATTTAGTATCGTAAGTCGAAATGTTGCCACAAAGTTTGCGAAACTACAAATGCCGCCACATTACTCCCTGCCTAGACGAAACTGCCGATATCGTAAAGGAAAGTTTATATGCCTACCAGAACGCGTAGACGAAGCTGCGGCTACTGGCTGCGCGGACTCTGGTAAACGCTTAATACAGAGGCTCTTGAGAGCAGCATCACCAAGTGTATTGCCTGCGACGCGCCTCATCTCGAAGAAATGTTGGTGCTTGCCATTGGTGGCTTTGGCAGTCTCCCGTACACTACGGCAGTGGATGTAGGGGGTGCCATTGTTTCTCCAGGATTAGGCGAAAGAGTTTGAGATGCTCCTGGTTCTGCTCCGTTTTTCACCATTTTACTCTTACCTCAAATGGCTGCTTGTGTGCATGTGCTTGCCGATCACGTCGGGCTCACCAGCTTGGAGGTTTTATGTCGAGTTTACCTCACAAAGAAATCGTTTAAAAAACCAAACAGGAGCTTAGTGGTTTATTTGATAATTACGAGTTAATAGTTCGTGTTTTGTATTCAGGCAAGCACGTCCAAATCCGATGACATCCAGAACGAAAGAAGAGAAGATGAACAATTTGAGTGATGCCATATTGATTTTTATTTTTCAACTGGAAAATTAGCGCAGAGTTGCATTTAGTATCCAAAGTCGAATTGTTGCCACGAAGTTTGCGAAAGTACAAATTTGAAAATATATACCAAGAAATTGGCCTATGTATTGACCATATTTCAGAAAATATCACGCTCAAAGTAACCCGTAATGCTACTGTATTTTCATTTAGACACTATGTTATGTAAGGTTGGTATTTTTAAATAAAACTGAGTTAGATAAAACCATAAAATTTAGCCTGTCACATAAATCTGACCCTGGTCTATACGAAAACATATTTACTATAAACCAGTGTTACAAATATGTCACAGTTTTAAAACAATTACTTTTGTCATGAGTTTGAGTTTCCGAGATGAGAATTGGCATTAAAAACCCACAGCACTCGACAAAAACAAATAAATTTCTACCACGCAAATCTACAAAGTTTTATCTGGCATGGCCTTTAGGGTAGGGCTGCCAGACATCCCGGTTTTCCGGGACATATCCCGGTTTTAGACTATTTGTCCTGCTGTCCCGGTCCAACCTTAAAATGTCCCGGGTTTCGTTTAAGTGTCCCGGTTTTCGATTTGATTGCACAAATTTTGAATAAAAATGACTACACTGAGAGAAAAAAAGCCTTGTAATATTGAGAAAAATTTTGTGAATTTACTGGGGGAAATAACGCATAGTAAACATGAATATTTTTTATTTGATTATCGTTTTAAAANTTAAAAACAATACTTTCATACCACGCACACGTGGTGTTGAATCAAACTGAACATTTGAATGCACATTTACATGTCTGGCTGTAGCTGAGTGCACGAAGATGCTTGCCACAATTTGCTAATTTCCAGAGCGTCAGGGTTCAAATCCCATTACAGGCAGCATGGAATTTAAATATTTTTTTTAACTTAATTATGAAAAAGCATCCGTTAAGTGCAAAGCCCTTCATTTTAATATTGGCGTAGGTATTTGATTTGAATATTTCTAAACTAAATACTAAAATTTGTATACTTAAATTTATTACGTTGGGTTGGTGCTCTTTCATATGCGAATTTTTTTTTTAAATTTAGCACGTTTTGCGCAAGCAATAGTTGATGATTAATATAAGTATGTACCTAAATACGTTAAAATGACATGTACAGAGTTTTACAATTATATTAAGCAAAGGCCAGAAGTTTTGAAACAAGTTCACAGCAACGGAACAAATGACTGATATCTTAATGTTACCTTGTATTTAATTTTTTTTCTTTCCTGAAACCTAGATTACTTATAAGTACCGTACAAAATTATTGGCTCGGAGACTATTTCATCAGATCACAATTTCTAATCAGATCTTTTAGAAAAATTTTGAAAATGTAGCTTTTAAGCCAATTAGTAAAGTGCAGGTCTGAAGTTACCAGAAAATTTCGTTGATTTTTTGCAACTATTTATTTTTTGCGGACAGTGTCTTCTACATACAAAAAAATGTCGAACATAGTTTGTATGGAAGAAACTCTCAGTAAAAACAATACCAAAAATCAACTAAATTTTTTTGGGCTGCGAAACTTCATTTTAAAAATTTGTATAAAAAAGTCTGAATAGAAAGTTGCGAATTTGTATGCAAATTTATTGCATTTTCCCGAGTTTTGCACAAAGTTTAGTAATTTTATTTTTATGTTTTCTGATGTATTTAGTATAAACTGTATTTTTATAAGGAACAAAAAAGGTACATGCATTGTGAAAAATTCTCTGTGCTTTAGTTGTGATAAATTGTTTTGTTTTGCTGGTGTACGTTGTAATGATCTCATGTTTTTATGTTTTTGTTTTTGTTTGTCAAAATAAAATTTTACTACATCCTTTAGTAAGTAATTTTTGTCGAAACGAAAGGGAAGGGAGCGAGAGGCCTTTCCCACCCTTAAGTGTCCCGGTTTGGCAACAGAGATATCTGGCAGCCCTACTTTAGGGTGATGAATGATGTAGTGAAAAAGTAGCCTAATTATGGTATGTATAAAAACTTATTTCAGGAACTTAGAAATAGTTGAAGGGCCGTGACGTAGTTAATCCGGCCCTGCCTATCCATAACAACACAAACCTCGTTTCATTTTCGCCGCATATACGGTAACTTAGGGAACCGCTACAGAAGCAACTGATTTTTTTAAGTTTTTTGTTTTTCCCACTTTGTATGAATAAATATTTCAAATCATAAATTTTCATTTGTCTATTTTGAATTTATTTGACATTTAAATCATTTCGAGAGAGTGTACTTAAAATGCTAGCAAACGTCAAAAAACCTTATGGCGGAGAAATTGAACGAGAGGTTGTACCTTTAAATGTTTTTGTCATGGTAGCCAAAAATACGAAAAATTTAAAATGTTGTTTTTTTAATAACATTTGAAATATTTTGATCTATGTTTGACAATTCAGTCGCAGTCCAAAAGAGACAACTGTCGAAATCACTTCTACGTTGTTGAATATGCCTTGCTAACGACTATTTGAGAAAAAGTAAATACATAATTCACAACAAAAAATAGATGTTATACACTTTTAACAATTTATATGAATCCATGACGACGGCTGAGCTGATGCTGTTGAAATTGGTCATTGCAATCATATTTAATTTTCCATAGCTCATTATCATCTGCCATCCGAATAATTGCAGTAACCATGATACGCCAAAGTTCGATGGCCTCGTTGGCGTTCATTAATATTAAATTGGCAATATTGACATAGAAACTCGAATAAGAGTGGCAATATAGCTTCTAGCGTAGGCAGGGAAAGAAGAAGTAGCATAGCAGATGACTTGGCTGCTGATGAAGAGCCGCCATCTTTAAGTTGATTATCTGAAATAAACAAAAACAACTCTAAATTAGGAACATAAGAGCAACTAATAAGTATCTTAATGAGAATATGGACCGAAGAGTATGAATTACAAATAGCCACAAATATGAAATGAAATAACTAAATAATAATAAGTAGGTAATATTGTTCTCATTTTCGTTGTTGGTGTTTCGGTGACGGTAAATCGTTCCACAGTACATCACAGAAAATATTGCTTTAAAACATTATAATCATAAATTTGTTAATATATAATATATTTAGTTATAAAAGTAAAGTCTATAATTTACCTCCGAATGCTTTGTCGCGCAATCTTGATTTTGTGACTACCGTTTCTCGTGACTCGAGCACAGGTATCTTCTGAGGTTTTTCATATGTAGCAGTTTCCTCACTGCTTTGCCAATATAAAGAAGATATTCGTGAAACACACTGTAAAATATCAACAAAACGGACATTTAATCAGCCAAAAGAAGAGAGTGGGGTTTCAAATGTAATATAATGCTATTAAAAAAAAATTAAATTGTCTACCCTAATACGTCGCTTTCGAGGCATATATTCAGAAGAAAGCTAAACCCAACGGTGAATGTGAAAGCAGATCATATTTTAAATAAACATGTTGCTATAGAATTTAATTATTTTAGTTTGTTACAATTCAAATATATATGCATAGGTACCCAGCAAAAAATCGGTAATCGCTTTTAGTCGTAACGTGTTCTAGAATGCATTGCCTTATAATGTGTTTTAATTTTTTCGCTTCTTTTGAGCATTTCCGGTAATGCATAGTAGAATTTCCTACAATACTTATTGAAATGAAACTTCTTAGGCGGCGGTATCGCAAAAACGGAGAGTGAAATTTTTAAAACTGAAAATTTTACATGAGTAACAAAGAGGATATAGTATAAAGAAGGGGAGAAAAGAAAGAAAACGACGTATGACGGCTATACAAAGCGATAGCACAAACTAGAGATGGGCACAGGCCTAAATTTTCAGGCCCGGCCCGGCACGAGTGCAAAATCAACTTTCAAAAACACGCACGAGCCCGCACGTTAAGAATTTTAGAGAGACCCGGCCCGGCACGTCGGGACACGTCCCAGCCCGGAAATAAAGAGCCAACTTTTATTGTATGTATACTTATGTACATATTTTTAATTTTGTGTTTATGAATGTATATTTACTTAAGCAAATCAATTATTTACATCAAAGATTTTTATAACATATTTTCTGGGAACTAAAAAAGTGGAAGGTATTTTATGTACAGATATGTAAACAAAACTACTAAGTATCTTACTTTTTCTATCGGTTTCCAATTATTTCTTTTTTTGCTTTTCTCTTATCAAAAGAGGTTTAAATATGAACTTTTTTTTATAAAAACAAAAGCTTAAGTAAATTTGTAGTATTAGCAACGGGCTTTTTCGTGCTTATTCGTGCTTTTATGAAATTTTACTGAACGCCCATGCACGCACGAGTTCTTGCTGACAGCAAATATTCCGGACCGTACCCGCGGGCTTACGCAGGGGCCCGGCCCGTGCCCATCTCTAGCACAAACATCTTCAACGCGCATGCATACGAGTACCTACATACATACATATGTATGTTTGAATGCACGTACTACATATATACCCGGCCCCAAACTAGTCAGGAAAAAAACAAGTTTACAACTAGAATTTCCTGACTGAAACCGAATTAGTTCGAAAATGACCCGACTTGTACCAAGTACAAAACGATTTATTCATCTCCCGTTTTATTTGACTTCGACAATAAAGTACACAAAATATTATAACTTTTATTTGGATATATTGGAAGCCATTAAAGCGAGTACGAATTCAATTATACCAGACCTGTTAAATAATGATTAATATCCAATGATTATTAATTAAAACGTGTTTTTTGNTTAAAACTGAAAATTTTACATGAGTAACAAAGAGGATATAGTATAAAGAAGGGGAGAAAAGAAAGAAAACGACGTATGACGGCTATACAAAGCGATAGCACAAACTAGAGATGGGCACAGGCCTAAATTTTCAGGCCCGGCCCGGCACGAGTGCAAAATCAACTTTCAAAAACACGCACGAGCCCGCACGTTAAGAATTTTAGAGAGACCCGGCCCGGCACGTCGGGACACGTCCCAGCCCGGAAATAAAGAGCCAACTTTTATTGTATGTATACTTATGTACATATTTTTAATTTTGTGTTTATGAATGTATATTTACTTAAGCAAATCAATTATTTACATCAAAGATTTTTATAACATATTTTCTGGGAACTAAAAAAGTGGAAGGTATTTTATGTACAGATATGTAAACAAAACTACTAAGTATCTTACTTTTTCTATCGGTTTCCAATTATTTCTTTTTTTGCTTTTCTCTTATCAAAAGAGGTTTAAATATGAACTTTTTTTTATAAAAACAAAAGCTTAAGTAAATTTGTAGTATTAGCAACGGGCTTTTTCGTGCTTATTCGTGCTTTTATGAAATTTTACTGAACGCCCATGCACGCACGAGTTCTTGCTGACAGCAAATATTCCGGACCGTACCCGCGGGCTTACGCAGGGGCCCGGCCCGTGCCCATCTCTAGCACAAACATCTTCAACGCGCATGCATACGAGTACCTACATACATACATATGTATGTTTGAATGCACGTACTACATATATACCCGGCCCCAAACTAGTCAGGAAAAAAACAAGTTTACAACTAGAATTTCCTGACTGAAACCGAATTAGTTCGAAAATGACCCGACTTGTACCAAGTACAAAACGATTTATTCATCTCCCGTTTTATTTGACTTCGACAATAAAGTACACAAAATATTATAACTTTTATTTGGATATATTGGAAGCCATTAAAGCGAGTACGAATTCAATTATACCAGACCTGTTAAATAATGATTAATATCCAATGATTATTAATTAAAACGTGTTTTTTGTCAATCAACAAGCCAAACTATAGACAAAAATTAAGAATATTTAATAACTGCTTGAATTACTAATTTTTTTTATTCTTATCCAAATCTCAAATTTTAAACATTAATTATTACTTTTATAACATTTTAAAAAGAATAGACTGAAATGTGCAAAAGTTAATGAATTTAATTTGTTTTAATGAAAACTTTTATTTTCATTTAGTTCACTCAAAAATTAACTAAAGTATTCATTTTATTTTTACCTAAAAGTTTTCTTTTGCATATTCAATATTAAATATTAAAAAAGATAAAAATATAGCATTTATTATACCTGAAAGCTTTTATTTTAATAACATTTAATGAAAAATGCATTTAAATTTATGTTCGAAAGTTTGAAATATTTATGTACATATTTATTTTTGCTTTTAATATACTCAACAAATTTAACACTAATTATTGGCAAATCTAAGGCTGCTACACTCAGAGAAAAGTTGCGGGCTAAAATCAAGCTGTGTCGTACTTGATTTAAGAACTGCATAATTTAAGAAAACAAATTTAAATTTAAGTTTTCCCAATCTTAAATCAAGATATAAATAAGAACGGTAAGCTTAAAACAAGATAAAAATCTCAAAACTAGATAAAAGCATCTTGATTTAAGAATCAAATTCCTGATTTTCAAGGGCATTCTTTATTCAAGAATGACATTCTTGATTTTAGAATATTTCAAGAGTAAAATTCTTTATTTAAGAGTGTTCGTTCTTAAAACAAGTTTATCGCACTTAAATTAATCCGAAGCATTTTCAAAATAAAAATAACACTTTCAGTGTGCGTTTCTTTCGGTTTTGCTATTCTTTTAAGAGTGCGCACTTGGTATAAAATATTAAAAGTGAAAAGTGTTTAAACTGAGTACAATGGAAGATTTTGAAATAGTTAATATTGTGCCATTAGAAAATTCAAATGCTATTGCGCCTTTGCATAATAGTAATGAAAGTTTCCCAGGAAATTGGATGGCTGTAGCTATCGAACCAGTTGTGCCTCCCGAAGAAAATTGTTTAAATGCTCTGGAGAAAGAAACTATTGAAAGTGGATCGAGCTACGCTGTGCAGTCTTTC